TAAACACGAAGGTAATTCTCTTCCCTGCACGTCTTGTAAAGTTCCTTTTACCGAATCTTTGACGAAATCAAATCAAACTTCATCCGTGAACATTCAAGTAAGAATGTCCCCTTTCTCGTCTATCGTTTCTCGCTTTCTTTAACCAATCGCGCGACTCGGAGTCGGCTGGTTAATATAAGTAATAATACCCTATTATTTAAATAAACATAAAATGGAGTTGCATTTTCTTATTATTTAGAACAGGAATGTCCAACTTGCAAGGCCACAAGTGCCACAGCTTTAATATGGTTGCGGGCCAAATTTTCATTACTAGCGCGATCCACACGTGACTTTCCCGTATTGTTGATCACTTGGGGCCGGATTTTATTGAAATATCATTAACGGGAGCGGGAAACAGCGGGAAACAAAATGTTTCTTTCTGCAATTCTGTCCAATTTACTCTAGAACCAAAACCGTCTTATTGAAGATGTGGAGGGAAGTTACGACTGATTTTTCGATTTAAAAACCACAAAGTAACAGTCATGAGTAGATATTTGGTAGAAGCAGGCAGAGAAAGAAATCAGAAAGATATCTCGTCAAACCTCATCTCTAAGCTAATTATTATTATTATTATTATTATTATTATTATTATTATTCATTGTTTCTACCGTAATTCACATAATTTGGCTTTGTGTCGGGATAATAGCCAAGACACAGTTCATTTCATGTTTCGTCGCAAATTCAACAATATGCAACAATAATGTTCTCCACAGAATTCCTGAGTATCCTATTCGAATTCTTCGCTTAGGAATTGTAATGTCAGAGGTTGAGTCTTGAGTCTAATCTGATTCCTGTGACGCCTATCAGCGCCATTGTCGACTCGATTTTGGGATAACTAAAGACAGTTTTTGTGGTAAAAAACTGTCCAAACTAACATTTGCAAGTTGTACGAAAGGAAGAACCCTCGATTACATTCGTAACATAACCAACAACGTGAGTTGTTCATCCGGACTGGTATTGATGAGATTTTTTACGTCATCATTTTTGGCCATGTTTTAGGTCAGCAAAATCCGCCCCCCTATTGATCACATGCATCTAAACCGGGGGGAGGGGGCGGACACATGCGTGATATCAGTCCGCATCATGCACAACGCAATGAAACACATTGAGATGGATTTTGATTTCTGAATTTTATAAAAAAGTAATTCTTTAAATTTAAACTTAACCTATTTTTCACATTAAAGGCTGCTTTAATCCCGGTAGGGAGCTTGCGCTAGGCGCACAATGGATGAAATGGACCGAAGGGACTTTTACGTTTGACTAATGACCTTTCGCGGGCCACAAGAAAAGGCACCACGGGCTGCAAGTTGGACAATTCTGATTTAGAAGAACTGTCAAGAGTTTTGCGACACGTAGTATTTTGTGTTGAGCTAATGATTATTCACACGTTGATTTCACAACATAATCATAGTCACCTACGAAGAACATTATAACATAAAAACAGATAGAGAAAAAGAGAGAGAAAGAGAGAGAGAAAGGGAGAGAAAGAGAGAGAGAAAGAGAGAAAAAAGAGAGAAAGAAAGAGAGAGAAAGATAGAGAAGGAGAGAGAGAAAAAGGGAGAGAAAGAGAGAGAGAGAAAGAGAGAGAAAGAGGGAGAGAGAAAGAGAGAGCGAAAGAGAGAGAGAAAGAGAGAGCGAAAGAGAGAGAGAGAAAGAGAGAGAGAAAGAGAGAGAGAGAGAGAAGCACACACCCACACACTTCATTTTATCTCGCATCCCATGTCTAGAAGCACATGCAATTGTGGTAATTTGGCAACTTCGTATCATTCACGTTTGTCGACACGGTCCTGGGTGGGACGTCGAGGCGGCAGGGCAGGGAGTGGCACGTCATAAGCTGCAGCAACTTTCCTGTGTTTTCCCAGGAACGCAGCTCAAAGGCCGAAATCCTTTAGAGCTGAGAGAGGCAGTACAGGATGAGGTGAGCTGGAACATGGGCGGGAAACAAAACTTCTGTTTCTGCAAATCTGTCCAGTTTGCACTCGAACCAAAACTGTCTTATTGAAGATGTGGAGGAAAGTTACGACTGATTTATCGATTTATGAACCGCAACGTAGCAGTCATTATTAGGTATTTCATGGAAACGGACTGAGAAAGAAATCAGAAGAGAGAAAGAAAAAAGAAGATAAAAACACCAATTTATCTAAATGTATAATAATAATAATAATCAATAATAATCAATAATAATAATTAATAATAATATAATAACAATAATAATACCCATCCCAATAAGGTCTCCCAAAGCCCAGCCCTACGGTCCGAGCAACTGAGTATGACTTCCCACCCACGTGGTAGCCCCCGGGCAACGTCACGAAAATTTGCGCAAACAGCCGGCGATGGCACACCCATAGAGACTATGGAGGACACGGGAATATGCGTCGCAAGGCCTCGGAAAAGCAAGCGGCTCCTGGGGCAGCGCCGGCCGGCACACTTACGGAGCCACCGCTGGAAAGGGTGACAGGCATGCGAGCCGTGGTGGTGATCAGGAGCCTGAACCAGGCGGGCCCTGATCGGAGATAACCCCAATATACTACAGCCGAAGCATGAAGCAGCACCCATCCTCTCCACTTATAGCTGCACCTGCCGCAAAGCTGCTGCCACGAGAAGCAATTCTATCCTGCCTTCCAGAGACCACTGGCCGGGCAGGCAGGCAACGCAGAAGGATGACATGACTATAGAATAAATACCTTCATCGATGCTGAATACTACACCATTAGCCAAATGGAGACGCACTACGCCTAGCCGACCAAAACTTAAATCCAAAAGATTCTTTCACCTTTCCCTGACTTCTGAAGTTTAGGTGAGCAACAGCAATAGCGGGACCAGCGTCGAGCAATTGTTCAGAAAAATTCCTCCTCTGCAACCAGTTTTGGAAGCAATAAGGGAAAAGTGAGAAACATGCTAAACTCCTCAGAACCTAGTAATCTGAGGCAGTGGAATATACAGCTGTGCAAACTCAGGCGATGACAACTGGAACAGCATGCTCAGAAATTTGCCGCATGATCGTAGAGAATAGTGAAAATTCGCCCAATGAATTTGCCCGTCGCACTGCGGAATTTGACAGAAACTGACCCACTGCAACCGCTTATCTCCATTCCCAGACCCAAAATTGCTCGAAGGAAATTAGCAACAAGCCCCGCAATCAGCGTCTTGCGAATGAGGAAAGTACTTTGGCCACCAAACATTCCTCCCAACACAAGGGGAACCAATCTTTCGAAGAATAAAACCACACAGCAAATTTATTGTGCTTGCGGTTGTTGGGCTTCAAGATTGTAAACACCGGTTTCCCCACCCAGGGCCCTTCTTTCAACCGCGCCGCCCCGTAGCCAAAACTTCCCCACAATGAATCGAAAAGTTTTTTGGAAAAAAAAAAAAAAAAAACAGGAAAATTTTTTGGGGCCCCCCCCAACCTTGGGGGGAAAAAAAAAAAAGGGGGAAAACCCGGGGGGGCTTTTGTTGGAAAGAAAAAAAATTTTTTTTTTTCGTATAAAAAAAACAAAGGGGGGGGGGGAAAAAAAAAAAAAAAAGCCCCCACTAGGAAAAGAAGGATTAACATTGATTTCTCGTCTCTG